TATATATTTATATTCATATATAATTTATATTATATATAAATATTTTATATATAAACAACATTTTTCTTAAATATATACACGCATGTGTGTGTATTTATATATACATAATAAATATACACAGTACACACATATGTAAACAAACACTTTTATTTTGGATGTGATTAATCGTTTGACAGCACTAATTTATTTACATTTAAGTTTTCTTTTTTTGTTGTTGATTTGTTTTTGTATTTACTTATATTGATTTATTGTTATTTGATTTATTGATATCTTGTTTTTATTTACATTTTTATTGAATTATTTATTTATTATTATTATTTGATTTATTTTTATTTATTTTTTTGTTATTTCAGTGTCCCAAATTTGTAGAAATAAGTGAGAAATGTCATCAATGACAGTTATTTTTCTAGATTGCTTTGATTAAAAAAAAAGTACTACTGCAAGATATTATATTATTCTGTAGTACTTTGATCAGTTTGATCGTGTCCCACAGAGAGAAGCAAACAGACCGTGAGACTGGAGGTCAAATCAAGTCCAAATGTGAACGATCCTGCGGTGAAGACAGAGGTTCTGCTGCAGGTGAATTCATATAAGGACATGTACAGTATACCGAAAGCATATTGATAGAGGAGAAAACTTCTGTTTGTGTTCTTCAGATAGCGAAGATACTGAAGCAGAAGCGACTGACTGATTATGCAAAACTGTTGTGGAAAATCCAGCCGGATGGAAATGTCTTCCAGAAGAGCCGGAAGAGTGATGCTATTCAACCGACTTGAAAAATGGATAAAAGAAAGTAGTTTTATTGATTAGCTGTATAATAATAATCTTATTGATTATAGCCGGTTGTTTAACATAACATCAAAGAGTTTACGAGTTTCCACTATAATGTAATCCTATTTTAAAATGAATTTGTTTTTAATAATTAATAATCATGTTACAGAACTAACAGCCAATCAGAATGCACTCTTGTTTTAATACAGCCAGTGATGCTGAATTTGCATTTGCATCATTGTTGTCACTGAAAAATGACTCATGATTGACATTCAGCTGCTGGTTTTAGTTGCACAATCAATCTCAGGTGAAGTACGGTAACACTGGTTTCCTTGCACGGTTTATGCATTAAAGTTACTTTAACGAGAACAATATTTATGCTGCATATATAATACTCAACGATGTTTTCGGCTGCATGATTTGTAAATGTTTGACATGTTGCACATAGTTGAACTTGGCTTGTGTGTGAGTTTAATTAATACTTAATTAAACATTCCTGAAATCTATTAAAAAAGGTTATTTATACACTGTAAATAAAAAAGTTAATACAAATAAGAAACGTTAAATCTGTATTTGCTGTAAAAAGTATGGTCACAAAATTTTTAATTTTATAGACTGAATTACAGTACAGTAATGCATTTACATTTCATTTCATTAACTGAAATTGTTAATTTCCCAAACTATAGATAAAGTCACATGAATGTTTATCATAACTTTTCAAGCTGAGGTGAATATAGGTGCAAAGCAACGTAAACAACACGTGGCACTAAAATAATGCAATATTCATTTATTTTACAACACATGATATGTGACCCTGGAGCACAAAACCAGTCATAAGGGTCAATTTTTGGTTGAGATACAACTATTTGAAAATCTGGAATCTGAGGGAGCAAAAAAATGAATGAAAAAAATGATAAAAAGTTTTGATATATTTACGGCAGGAAATTTACAAAATATCTTCATGGAACATGATCTTTACTTAATATCCTAATGATTTTTGGCATAAAAGAAAAATGTATAATTTTGACCCATACAATGTATTGTTGGCTATTGCTACAAATATACCCCAGCGACTTAACACTGCTTTTGTGCTCCAGGGACACATATAACATATAACTCTGATGTGCATAACTGATAAGAATAGGCTACGAAAAAAACCCCCATTGTTTTAATGAAAAAACCCTCAAAATATTCGGGGAATGCCGATTTATGTTTTTTTCACTGTAAATCACAAGGTGACGCTCATTTTCAGTTCCCAGTTCTGTACATTTCGTAGTATTTTACTGCACAATTACGTGAAATGTCCTGTTAGTAACTTGCGTTGACTAGTTAAGGTATAGCCTTTTGCCATTAAAATTATAATTTTTTTTATTCTGAATTTGATTGAAAAAAAGAAGGAAAAGTGTCATTTGATGCAAAGGTTTCCATGTTTTGTTCTGATGCACTGATCATCACTGGAACTCAACTGAGACAGGATCACGTCATTTATTGCTACTTTTTGGTTATTTCATGACTTCCTAATTTGACAAAGTAACCAAGACGTTGCATAATCATTATTTCATTACCATCAAATTACCAACTCACAATGCCCTCAGTACGGTCTCCTAGAACCTTCCAGTTACTATATTCATAATACTTCTGCAATTTCGTGAATTGCCAAAGTAACTGCAACGTCATAGCAGGTCTGTAATTTCATTACCATCAAATTGCACATTCTTTAGTTATTAATTTGACCCCATCTGGACACATTTAATGTGCAAATGTAGTTGCATTGGTGAAAAAAATATATTAAGAGTGGCTTAAGTGTGCAAATAATTTCTGAGTACTGAATAATTGTAAAGCTCTTCGGATAGAGCAGATGCCGAAATGTTAAACTGTCTTATAGAAACCAATCCGATGGGAATGTTTTCCAAAAGAACAGAGACTGTTCCCTTTGAAAAATGAAGGCATGTTGTTCAGTAATAAAATAAGATAAAACTCTATTAATCCTCTGTGAAATAACAGTAGCCAAAGAAGTGAAGACATATTTGATTTAACAGAATTGCTAATTTTAGCTGATTTAGGTTTACCTTAAGTTGCTTTTATTATAAAGTGACTTACAAATGAGAAACATGACAAGCAATTTATCACAGAGCAATAATATGCATAGTATGCAATGCAAGGTTGGTAAACACTAGAGTAACCAATACATAAACTGGCGTTATAGTAGTAAGTGCCAGTATCTAATTATCATTGACCACCATAATTGCAGATGTACAGAGCCCTAGATTATTCTTCTGCATGTGGCTAATGCTAAAATTAAAAATACGTAAACGCAACTCACCGCTGCTGTTTTGAATATGTTTATAACTGATATTTCTCGAATATCTTTTTCTCTAAAACAAAAGGTTATATGTTACATTGAAAAATCTGAATGGCCGCTACTCTGAAATCACTTAAAAGCCAATGGAAAAACAATGATGTTTTATAGACACACCATTTAGTAGTTTTACAAAAGGTGAATTATACAGTCCTGTGGTGCCATCTGTTGCACAGCGCTGATTTGCCAAGTCCATCTCACTGGCACACAACCACCGAAAGAAAAAAAACCTTCACTGGAAATGAATTTACCATCTTATAAATCACTTTCCACCACAATACTTAAGCAATCATGTTGTGTGTACTGTTTAGAATTAGATCTAGCGATGTTCGTGAACCCTGATGGCCCACATACATCACTGAGACGTCTGTTTGACGTCTGCATTACATCTGCAAGACGTATTTTTTAGAGTATTTGCTCATCTGCAATCCGTCTATAGGACGTTTACTATCAGATGTCTAATAGACGTTTAGAAGATGTCTTTAAGATGTTTATGATTTAGAATGTATGACATCTTAGAGACGTCTATCAGATGTTTGTACACAGCAGATGCTTTCCAGATGAAGCGATCTTTAACAGACATCTTGCAGACGTACGTGTGCTATCTTAAGATATGGCGTGGTTGAGCACATGTGGGCCAAATGTTCAACCTGTGTTTTGCCGTGGCTTTAGAATTGGAGGAAAATTTCTTTTGGATCAGATTTCTTTTGCAATGATGTATTTGGCTTAGAAAGACAGCACACAACTGAAAAGCATGGAATATGTTTAGTTATTTTCATTAGGGTTAACATTTGGTTTATACTCGGAAAAACACACTTAGCCTGCAGCAGGTTTGTGTTAATCCACACCTCAGCCTATTCAACAATGCTATTGGCTGCTTCACCCCCCCCTCCCCAATCTTCCCTTAAAGAGATAGTTCATCCCAAAAATTTAAATTTGCTGTTAATTTACTCATCATCAGGCCATCCGAGATGTAGTGACAGTTTTCCTTCAGTAGAACAGTGAAGAAGATTTTTAGCTGAAACCTTGGTCACTCAGAAAATGCAAGTCAATGGCAATCCTTTGAGAGTCCAAAATAAAAATAAAATCAGGCAACACAAAATGAATACCCATGACTCCTCACGATATACTGAGGTCTTATGAAGCCAAACGATCGGTCTGTGCAAGAAACTGGACATTATTCACAACATTGTGACCTGTAATCCAGAGCCTCGGGCAAATGAGGAAATATGAGTCTTTTCTGGTTAACTGGTTAAGCCACGTGTTGAGTTTTGAGGCTTGTTTTGGGCTCTTTATGATTGGTGTTTGGGATGGTTTTGTTACACAGACCTGGCAACCCTGTCCAGTAATATGTTTTGGGCCAATTTCCATTAGGATTTAGGGAACTTTACAGTTTCCATTAAAACAGTACAATTCCCATTATATAAATTAAAACCATTACAAATTCTACAAGGGCTTCTTATTTATTTATTGACTGTATCGTGTTTATCCATTTATATTGTCATATCGCCTAGTGCTAAAACTTGCTCTATGGTAAAGACATTATAGACAAATGACATTACAAACAGTGTGACTTTCTGTAAAGCTGATGTATATTGTGAAATTTGACTTAACTCATTGATTGAAGTTTGATTTTGCTGCTGCAGATAAATGATCATCACATTCATTTCATGTGTTCATCTTTGAAGAAGCTCTTTGTATTTCAATCTTGTTAAAATGTTTCGATTTTGAGAATCTTAACAGGAGCCCGGAAACATCACGTTAATTATCTTTGGTCATTTTGATGGTGGTTTTGGGTTTGGTTAAATCACTGTTTGGCCTGTTTGTGATTTTAACAATGTGTTTCTCTAATTAACTCCTTTAGTGAAGCACGTAACACAGGCACAGAAGTTATTGAGTCGCTGTCGTTTGACACAGATGTTCAGAAGTCAAAACTACAGGTTTTGTCTGATCAATTAAGGGTGAAGAGAGCAGTTTGATCACTCAGTCATGATGTTTTATACAGATATCGGAGTAGTTTAATAAGTTGAAGTGTTTGTTTTTCTAGGTCTCTCCTCATTCACAAGGTGGAAATATAATAAACCGGACAGTCAGTTGTGTGTTAATGTTGAAGGTGGCTACTGGGTTTGACCGCAACTGTGAAGACAACGTTCCTTTTGCTTGCTATTTTGGTGAGCTATTATCTTAATATATAACCAAACTTCATCTTTTTCTGAATTTCATTTGAATGTTTTTGCCTTACGTGGCTTTGGAACCTCTTTTCGTCATATATAGACATGTCAGTGTCAATGCTTATTCCAAAAGGTACATCTGGAAAAAGGGGGGGTCGTCTTATAATCAGGGTCGTCTTATATTCGGGCCAATACGGTAGTACTTCTCATGCATGTTTTAGCTAATACCTTTTGAACCCAATGGTCATTTGTCATCGGTCCTTGTGTCTCATGTTGAGGTCAACGCACCCAGTAGTACAGTTTTCACCCGACAAGTTTGAATTTGTCAAAATCATACTTTGGACTTTACTTTGGCTTTAAATCAAATCATAATCATCCTACGTCATCCGCTGAACGCCACTCTCTCGTGAGCGCGCGTTCGACAGTTAGCGGAAGCTAGAGATTACGGTTTATAAAATTGTAAATATGCATATTT